CTCTGTTGCTTGGAAAGCTCCTCCATACCTCTCGGCCCATTTCAAGGTGGCAGCATTTCCACACGTATTACGGAATCAGAGCAGGCACTTTGCTAAATGCTTCATATGTATGATCTCAAACTACGCGGCAGCCCTGGAAAACTATGTATTTTACCTGTTGAACAGGTGAGGAACAAAGAGGTTTGTGTAACTGTCCAAGGCCACAGAGCAAGGATTTAGCAGATCCAGGCTTTGAATCCAGCCTGGGTCCCAGCGTGTGCTTTGGTCTACCACTTTATGGGTTCTGATACCCACTGAGGCTTGGGGCAGGGATTTGGGGAGAGAGAAGGATAAAGATAAAAAGGGCATTGAGATAAGGGAACCAGTCATTATTTGGCCAGTCATCTTTTCCAGAAACTCCCGCCAACTGCCCCTTTCCTGCTCCTGTTATCACTAGCCAGTTGATGGCTGGGCTGGGCAGGGCTGGGTTGGGCTGTGCCCCTCTACTAAAATCCTTCAGAGCTTTCCTGTTCTAGAGTTTTGCAAGAAGGTGGGCGGAGTGTTTGTGCACTGGGCAGGCTTCCCAGGGGTGATTGTGGAAAGGAAGGGGAGTGATTTTTAGGGCCCTAAAAAGAAGCCAGGAAGAAGAGGAAAAAATAAAACCCTTTTTAAAAGAAAACAAATTGAATCAAGCATTTTCTGGCATTATCTTTAGTCTAGACATGGAGATAGAAGCCCAGGCCTGGAGTCTGGAAATGTCCATTTTCTTCTTGCTATATAACTGACCTTCCTAATGACCCAAGACACATCATTACACCAGCGTTATAGTCACATACCAAAAACAGCCCAGCCACACGCCTTTAGCATTCTTTTCTTCCCTTCAAGAGGTAGCCAGGCAATAAAAACAAATCCTATGCACGTTTTATGCAACTGCATGGATTTGTTTTCACATCTGTGGGTTTTTTTATTCACCTTTTACACTTTGGGTCTTTTGACCCCAAACATGACTTCTTGATATTTTGTTTTGTTGAAATTCCTACTGTCTTGCCATGATTGTGGGGTGCACCCCCCTGAACAATAAGGTTGGAGGACAGGCAGGGAACTGAAGATAGGAAAGGGAGAATGTCTCTTACTCAATCTATTTTAGTAAGGAGTGTTCAGTATTCTCTTTAGAGAGGAAATAAGCTAAAGGTCAGATGTATTTAATTAGACCATTAATCTCTTTCACATAATTAACACTTCATACTTTGCAAAGTGTTTATACGTGTGTGTGTTTTTAAATGCACGTACCATACATCACCCATTTAAAGTGTACAAGTCATTGTTTTTTTAGCATGTTCACAGGGTTGTGCAACCGTCACCACCGTCTAATTCTGGAACATTTTCATTACCCCAAAAAGAAACCCCATACTCATTAGCATTCACTCCCCATGCCCACTCCCCCATCCCACCCCCACCCCTGGGAAACCACTAGTCTGCTTGCTATCTTTATGGATGTGCTGATTCTAGACATTTCACATAAATAAAGCCATATAATTTATAGTCTTTTACACTGGCTTCTTTCACTTCGCACAGTGTTTTGGAGATTCATCCTGTTGGGGCATGTATTAGTATTTCATATGGCTGAATAATATTCCATTGTATAGCTATATCACATTTTGTTTATCCAGTCTCTACCTCTGTCATCACAATGGTGTTCTCCCTATGTGTCTTTGTCTGCTGTTCTTATAAGTACACCCATCACTATGACCTCATTTTAACTAATTAGATCTGCAAAGATGCTATTTTCAAACAAGGTCACATTCTGAGGTTCCATGTAAAAGTGAGTTTGGAGGTGGACACTATAGCAAGCAGAAATGAGATTTTGGCAAGGTTTAGTCCCAAAACAGCTTCAAAAGAGCTTTTCTGGAGTGGCAGATCATTATGGAGCCGACTGATTTCATAGACATGGCTTTATTTTTGTAGAATGGAGTTCCAAGTGGGCCCAACTCATCATAACCCCTACTTCATCTTATTAGCAGACCTTGAAAGCCTCTCCTATTTTGACCACAAGAAACAAGCATATTTGGTTTTGTGCTAGTAAAAATTATTTTATTCATTCAACAAGTATATATTCAGTACCCACTGTGAGCTGGAACTGCTTTAGGCAGCAGGAATACAGAAGTGACTAGAATACCTTTTGAGAATTTACAGCATGCAGAGTTGTCCCGACCCTTTGTGCAGTTCATTCTTATGACCATCTTATGTCTTGTTGCATTCTTATGACCATCTTATTGCAAACTAAGACTCAGGTGAAGTGGTTTCTCCAGCTCTACAGATTTCTCAGATTTGATCCACAGCCTGAGCAGAGGGCTCCAGCCACGAGGACAGGTCACTCCTCTTTTATACAGATCCACAGTCCAAGCATGCAACATAGGGGGCATGCGGGATATATGGGTGCCAGGCAGGAGAAGTAGATTGTGACAGAATGGCCTTTCTTGTCAGACTTGGGAACCTGAACTTTATTCTGAAGGCAGTGAGGAATCAGTGAACGTTATTGAGGGAGTGTGGCCTGATGCTACATGCTTCGTTTGTCTAACCAACACATGTTTATGGACTTGTGTCACATACTGGGCTTGATGCAAGGGATAAAAGTGTTAGAAAAGAGACAGTGTCTCTGCCCTCACTGAGCTTACAGCCAGGTATATGGAGTGATAGGACAGAAAAGTTACTATTTTCCTAAAATTCTGTTTGAAACACAAGGAAGGATTGGTCAGAAATAAGGTTAAAGAAATAAACAGAAAAATGGTTTTAAAAAGAGAGAGCTTTGTACATTGTCCTGAGGATAACAGGGATCCACTGAAGAATTTTAAGCAGGGCAGGGACATAGTGACATGGTGCAGTTGTTGACAAACAGAGAGGGGTTGTAGTAACACCTACATTTCCGGCTCAGCTGATTGGATGCTGATGTTGATGTACTTCACGGAGAAGCAGGACACAGGAGGAGGAGGAGATCACTGAGCTTGACCTGCTTGTGGGACATCTGAATAGAGATGCCCAACAGGCATCTTAGATGAGAGCCCAGGAAAGAGAACAGAGTTAAAGATGGATTTTTTGAGAGTTGTCATCACCTGGCTGGAAGAGAACACCCCGGGAGAGTGTCCTGAGTCAGTGATGATAGAGGAGGCTCTGGGGTGAAACCCTGAAAAATGCATCCACTGAAAGGGTGGCAGAGGTAGAGGAGTCCAAAAAGACCACAGGGGAAGGTAGAAATGCACCAGAGGCTTCCTCTTGGCACCTTCCCTATGTCTTCTCAGGCTGCGGCTTTGCCCATCCCTGGCTCCATGGCTACTCCATCCCCTAGCATAAACCCTCTCCCCTCTGCCGTTAGAGAGTTCATCTTGCAAATCTAATGGAGTAATGAAGCCATTGATTCTGTTAACAAACATCCAGTTCACTACAAGACCTGTAATGGGAATTCATTTTGGAGGTCAATACAGCTGTCGATGGAACAGTTTTTCCCCAGAGGCCCATGGCTTTTCTGTTGTACACAGGCAGAAGTTGTTCTGCCTCGCATCAGTAAAGACTGGGGACTAATTAATGCGATAGAGCACTAACAAGCTGGTGATCCTGCCTAGGGCCATGAGAAGTGTACTAAAATAGGTCAGATGATGGGGAGTAGAAACAGAAGTATGTCCCCTCTGAAAAGATTTGACTAGCCCTAGCAAGCCCCCATCACCACCCCTGAAATGTCATCCCCCACTAGCTATCACATCACCAGCAATTACATCTTTAAAACTTTACTTCTTTTGAACAAGAAGTTTCCCTATGGAATTATTGTGTGCTCCATGACTTTTTTTCTCCTTCCACAGACTAAGAAATGTCTATGCGCCTGGCCTTTATTAGGTGAATCCTGGGACTGTAGACATAACAGCATCAGGCACTGTTCATAGAAACAAGGCCAGGCAGGGAGGCAGAGTGACAGTGGACATAATGAAGCACAGGCCAAGTGCTATTGGCAGCCAGAAAAAGGACTGAGTCCAGGAAGGTTTCAGAGAGAATATGATATCCATGTAGGGTCTTCAAGTCTGCATATGAGTGCCAGTGGAGTAGAAGTGAAATCCAGGCGGAAGGAACAGCATAAGCCATGAGAAAGAGTTGTAAAAGGGGCTGGTGTGTCTGGGGACTGATGAAGCTTCCGAATGCCTCGGGTACAGGAGGAGAGAAGCAGGAAGTAGGTCAGACTGTGAAAGGCCTTATGTGTTACGCTCAGGAACTTGGACTAGGCTTGGAGAACCAGCCAAATGAGTAATGCCCTTGGCTGGGAGGGTAGTACTCTCAGCTATGATCTATCTTTAATACCTTGCTGCTTTTCTAGCACAACAGAGGGGAGTTTAAGATGAGAATTAAGAGAAAAAAGACCAATTGACACAGAGTGGTGGGCACAAGAGTTGGGGAACGGGGAACATCGTTGTCCTCAGAGGACTTGGAAGGGCAGGCAGGAGGAGCTGGGACCAGTCTTCCATGGGACGGTCTGCTGCAAGTACATTTCTGCTTTTATCATTTACACAATAAGGTACAGTCCAGGGTCTGAATCAATGAGTCTTCAGGAAGCAAAGCTCATTTAACAAAGCCAGCCTTAGCTTTGACAGAGGTGATGACAGCAGGAGCCTCCAAAGAGGAGGAGGGCAGTGGCACTTACTGCCCTCCCTCTGGAGAAGGGCCAGAGTCACAGTCCTGAGCCATGGACAGCCACACCTCCTGGGAGCAGGGCCATCACCATCAGGGTTGTGAGAGGGAGCAGACTCCAGACGACTCCAGGAGCAGTGCCGAGGGACAGGGCATCTCCGTTTCCACCAGGAGGCCACAGTCTTTTTCACTCAGGCAGACAGAGAAGGAGCAGGTGTGTGAGGGGGAGAGAAGGCTGCTGCTGGATCATTGCCTCTGCTCTTAATATCTCTTCTTCCTCTGACATCCCACTTTGGGATAAGGCCACTTTTCTTCCCCTTTTCAGTCACAGAGCTCCTTTTCTTGTTTCACAGACTCCCTGAGAAACATGTCCTCTGCCAGTCACGGCCCCCGCTCTTCTCCAGCTGAGCTCAGCAGCTCCAGTCAGCACCTTCTTCGAGAACGCAAGTCCTCAGCCCCATCGCACTCCAGCCAGCCAACCTTGTTCACCTTTGAACCCCCTGTGTCCAACCACATGCAGCCCACCTTGTCCACCAGTGCGCCTCAGGAGTATCTCTACTTGCACCAGTGCATAAGCCGGAGAGCGGAAAATGCAAGGTAGGAGACTGCTGTAAGCAGCGGTGGGGCAAGCACCCACTCACAGGACCTAGTCGCTTTCCGTCCTACAGTTTTTAATTTTAAAGACGGGAGTGAAATGGTTTCTCTTCTCAGGTGAACAGACGTATTTATTAACAGAGCATCCTTCTTTTGCTTAGGTAACCTTCACATTTTATTGCTATACAGTGATAATTGGGTTCCTCCGGAACCCATGATCAGAAACGATGCTATAAAAATGTTTTGTTTAATTTGGAGGAAAAAAGGCACTAGGGGCTAGAGTTTCAGAATTAGGAAAAAAATCAATTTATTTGCTGGCATTAAGAACATATCTATAAACCAATGCTTTCAACAATAGCCAAATTATGGAAAGAGCCTAAGTGTCCATCAACTGATGAATGGATAAAGAAGATGTGGTTTATATGTACAATGGAGTACTACTTGGCAATAAGAAAGAATGAAATCTTGACATTTGCAGCAACATGGATGTAACTGGAGGGTATTTTCCTAAGCGAAAGGAGTCAGTCAGAGAAAGATAGATATCATATGTGTTTACTCCTATGTGGATCTTGAGAAACTTAACAGAAGACCATGGGGGAAGGGAAGGGGAAAAAATAGTTACAAACAGAGAGGGAGGGAGGCAAACTGTAAGAGACTCTTAAATACAGAGAAGAAACTGAGAGTTGTTGGGTGGGGGGAGAGGGGAAAATGGGTGATGGGCATTGAGGAGGGCACTTGTTGGGATGAGCACTGGGTTTTGTACGTAAGCAGCAAATCACGGAAATCTACCCCAAAACCAAGAGCATGCTGTACACACTGTATGTTACCCAACTTGACAATAAATTATATTTAAAAAAAAGAATATAGCTATAAAATCTTACACTACTCAACAGATCCATATCTCACTTTTGCTCTAGAGCTGCACTGTTCTGCATGGTAGTCACTATCCATACGTGGTGATTTAAATGTGAATGGATTCAAATGAAATAAAATTTAAAATTAAGTTCTCAGTTGCACTAGCCACATTTCAAGTGCTCAATAGCCACATGTGGCTAATGGCTGCTGTACTGGACAGCACAGACAAGGAAGCATCTCATCATCACAGGAAGTTCTAGAGCAAGGACTTCCTGCTCGAGAATAATGGTCTTTGTATTTCTGGCACCAATCTCTCTCACAGGTGTGGAGCCTGTAGATATTTTTATTACCTTTTATTCCCATTGCTAGGGTAAGCAAAAGCACAGAAATGATGGACTTTGCCAGAGCTTGTTCCCAGTTACTACCATGGCCAGCAGGCTGCAAATCACATTTCTTAATTAATTTAGAAATACCTAATTTGTGTTAACAAAAATTAAGGCAATTAGAGAACTATGTATCACGCCATGGAACATTTTCATGTATAATCTCACGTGACCCAATCAAAGGCACTGAGAGGTAGCCAGTCTAGCTCCCTTCTCCCCGCCTCATAGATGAAGAAAATGAGGTTCACAACTAAGAAGTGACAGAGGTAGGGCTAGAAACCAGGTCTGCTTGTTTCTGGTCCTAGACTCTACACTGCACGATTCTGCTTCTGGGTCTCTGAGTCATTTACCATCACACAACAGAGGCTCCCCGCACTCGGTCTTAAGGTTGTCTCAAATGCCCATTTTCATTTGTTTCAGGATTCATTCATTTGTGACCTTTTAGTAGTTCAAACACGATCAACTTAGACATAAGGAGCTGAGTTCTTTAAAAAAAAAAAAAAAAAAAAAAGGACGAATTAGCCAAGATCACTGAACTAGTTAGCCGCAGTGCTGTAAATAGCACTGATTCTCCTGAATCACACACCCGAGACAGGCAGTGGGGTGTGACCAGAAGCAGATCACAGGCTTTGGAGTCCATCAGATATGGGTCCAAATTCAGGTTCTGCTACTTTCCTTGTGATCTAATTCTTTAACCTCCTGAGCTTCCATTTCCTTATCTGCAGGAAGGAAGTAATGAATTCTGAGGTTTACTGATGAGCATAAAATGACAGAACACATATACCCGGTAGCGCGTCCTCAGTACATATTAACGTTTCTTCTCCTTGTGCTGCATCCCCCTCTCCTGCACCTGTGATTGCCTGAGATTAGAGAGGGGGAGGTCTTCAAATCATAGTTCTATCGAAAGACAGTGTACTTTCTCTTAATGCCTCTCAAAGTGCATATGAAATACCTGGGGATCTGGTTGAAATGCTGATTCAGTGGGCCTGGAGGGGGTCCTGAGATCTTGCCTTTCTGCTAAACACCAGATGATGCCAGTGCAGCATGTCTGTAGATCACACTTCAAGTAGAAGTCTTTATCTAATATTGACAACTGCCACCACCCCCACTCCGATGGTGCTGCTAAAGCAGCAGATATAGAAATGTCTCTGCTTGAATTAGCAGTTGTGGCCCACTCTCTGCACCTCCTCCTCCTCTGTAAAACCTCTGTTAATTTTCCTAGATGAAATTTATTTCTTCCCTGCATTCCCACAGCAATTTTTTATTCTCTCTCACACAGCATTTGGAACTCTCTGCTTCATATTATGGATATTTATATTAATATATTTCTGCATTTTGTGAAGACAAGACCAAAGGCATATAGTAGGTGCATAAAAAATATCAAAATATATTTCTTATAGAGAGTCAACATAATAGGGGAGACCAGACTTGTCTGGCAGCAGCTGGGGAGGCAGCTTTACTGCGGGCTTTTCTCTGTGTCACTGCTTTCACTTGTGTGGGTGTGGGAGCAAGAGAGTGATGAGCAGGATCTTGGAGACTTTGGGAAAAAATAAGTTCAAACAATGTTTGCAGAATTCCCAAGTGATGGAGGATGGGAAGGAAGCTTTCTTCGGTCCAGAAACACCATATAGTTTCTGGAAGTGTTAGAGTAGTTTGCATGATACTAAACATACTGTGGGGCACCTGGGTGGCTCAGTGGGTTAAGCATCCGACTTTGGCTCAGGTCATGATCTTACACTCTGTGAGTTCGAGCCCTGCATCGGGCTCTGTGCTGACGGCTCAGAGCCTGGAGCCTGCTTTGGATTCTGTGTCTCCCTCTCTCTGACCCTCCCCCATTCACTCTCTGTCTTTCTCTGTCTCAAAAATAAATAAACATTAAAAAAAATTTAAACATACTGTAACAATTATAAACTCCAAACACAATATAAAAAAGCAACTGTTCAAGCACTGAAGAGCAATCAAAAAGCAGGCAGAAACTGAGAGATTTGACTCTTCCAAGGAGCTAGCAGCATACAAAGACATTAAAATATGTATGTTAATTGCTATAATATGTGGGGGTAGGGGAGGAGGGACTGGATCCTGAGTGAAGAGATGGTGAGATTCAGGAGAGAGCTAGAAACTCTGGAAAATAACTGAGAGGTTCCAGTTCCTGTGTGGTGGCAGAAACACTCCCTCCCACTGGTCACAACTGAACACTGTGGACAAAATACAATTACCCTGTCATTGTTTTGAGTCTAGAAAAATAAAATGAGGCAAATTATAAAGGGGAGAAAAATTTGGAGCTGCAGCTACACAGAGACGTATTTCTGTATCTCATGGAATTTCCCTGAAGGCGGGCCTGCTCGCCCAGCAGCACAGCGGAGCGCACAGCTGAAACTCTAATGGAAATCCCATATTTCTTGGTAGAGGAACCAGAAAAGGAGCCCTTTGGGGGCTGGAAAGGAGTAGAGTACCCAGAGTGAAGACAGTTGGAGAAGAGATTTCCTAATTCTGGGTGTGAAACCGCACAAGTTTCAGGCTCACTGTGAGCTGCATGGATGTTGGACAGACCACACCAGCACAGCAGAGGTTTTGAGAACTACACTGAGATTTGCACTCTGACACACAGAAGGAGACACAGAACTTGGCAGCCTGAATCTAACCACGTAGGTTGCCTGCAAAACAAAAACCTCCACGTTCTCCAGAGGATTATAACAGAATCCAGAGTCCACACAGCATAATATCACAACATTAAGTATATAATCCAAAATTTCTCAGCATACAGAGAACCGGCAATGGGTAACTGGTTCTCAAGGGAAAGCCCTGATGCACACTCCAACATAACCCAGATGTTGGAATTATCAGACACAAATTTAAAAGCCTGTATTATAACGATATGCCATGTGATGAAGGAAAATGCATTTGAAATTAAGGGAAAGAAAAAAACTATGAACCCCCACGTTTATATCCTGCAAAATTGTTCTTTAGGAATGAAAACAAAATCAAGAGATTCTCAGAGGAAAGAAAAATAAGAGCGTTTCCAAGAGATCAGATTTAAAGAAGTCATAAGGAAGTTCTTCAGGCTGAAGCAAAATAGTACCAAAAGGAAACTAAATCTTCAGGAATGAAGGAAGGGCAGCAGAAATAGGAGTTATCTGCATAATTTTCCCCCTAAGTTCCTTAAAATATGTGAGTGTTGAAGGCAAGTATTAAACATTGTCTGGTGAGGTTTTCACCTGGTTTTCACTCTTCAGCCAAAAGTGCTTCCTTTGCCATTTCTTCCCATATAAGTCCCCTTTTGACATGTTCTCCCAGTTTTCATTTATCTGGAAAGATCTGTATTTTACCTTCATTTCTGAGATATTTTGGCTGGATATAACATTCTGGAATGATAGTGTTATTTTCTTTTGGCATTTTAAAGTATGTCATTCTATAGTCTTCTGCCATTCATTGTTTCTGATGAGAGGTCAGATGTTATTTTTATTCGTAGAATCCTATGTGCTATGTATCTTTCTTTCTCTGAATGTTTTTTTTTTCTCCTTTTTAAAAAAAATTGTGAAATACACATAACATAAAATTTACCATCTCAGCTATTTTTAAGTGTACAATTCAGTAATGTAGAGTACTTTCTTCCACACTGTTATACAGCCAATCTCCAGAACTCTTTTCATCTTGCAAAACTGAAACTCTCCACCCACTAAAAATTCCCCGTTTCCCCTTTCCCCTACTCCCTGACAATCTTCTTTCTACTGTCTGTATGAAGCTGAATTCTCTAGGTAACTCATA